TAACAATACCGAATATCTTTCTCTCAGAATACTTTCGGAATTTCTAAACATAATCAGACTCATATAATACCTAATTAAAGGGAAACGCATAGTTACTTAGGTACATCCCAGAGCGCGAGACGAGGTGGCCGCGTGCTGCAGTAAGAGGATGATGCTGCGCGTCACCGGATTTTTTCCTATTCAAGTTCATTACTGCGGAATAATCGGTGGTGATATATGTAATCGGCGGGCAGAGCGGAGGTAACAGAGGAAAGGGAAAATAAAAAAAAAAAGGGAATGCTCGGCCGTCCTTAAAACATGCGATGGATCCGCCATGGCAAGTCAAGAAACCTTTGATAGCAACGCTCGATAGTATAGCGATGCTGAGCGCCGGCGCCTTTCTCTCGCAGCCCCATTGGTGCCGAAGGCCCTCTCCACACGAGTGCCCGCCGCCGGGTTTCCTTGGAAACGCTTCGTTCACGCTGATGTCTACCCTCGCCCACAGAAAACCTCTTTCAATTAGGCAGCCTGCCGCCCGACAGACCCACGAATCCCGGTCCGTTTTCTCTCCCGTTCCTTTTACTTTCTCTCTTCCTTTTACCTTCTTTTTCATCTTTTTTTTTTTTTAATTTCCTCTCGCCTGACGTTTCCCGCTTCGCCGAAACGGACACGCGCCGCTATAGACTCCGAGGTGAAGAAGTCACCGAGTACCCCGAGTGACTTTGAAACCACTAATTCGTTAAACAATCGGAAAATGCGCGCCGAGGTCAATATGTCACACGAGAACTGCACGGAAAGAACGATTTTTCTAAAATTCCATTTCTGAAAAATCGTTCTGAATACAAATCTAAAACTAATCTTGTTGGATCTTCTCAATAGTTGCGTATAGTGATGCTCAAATATAACTGACTGGGTGTCTAATTATTACATTTTGATGGTCCAACAATATCATTTTCTAATCTACCTACCTACCTAAATTTTCAGCTACTACTAACAAAACCTTTCCACGTGACATGACAAAATTAACGAGTCGAGAGGCAGACGTTGCAATAGTAGGAGAAAATATCGACTTCTTAAAAATATATATTATGAAATGAGTATTTACGGGATATCGAAAAAACGATATCGAAATAAAATTAGCGTGAAACAAAAATTGATAAGCGACGCAAATTTAAAGTCCACGAACCGCTTCAAATTTTAAAATATCTTAACTGACTGCAGAAGCTTTTTTTTTCTTACGTAACTGAGATTATCTCGAGCATAAAATAGCTATAAGGTATCCTTAATCGACGATATCTAGATATAAACTGTTCCCGTCGTGCAGACAGACAAATTTTATTACACAGCGCGAACAAGTACGGGGATACGCGTCATATCCGGCCAATCGCATGTGCGAATTTATATACGCGCACGCGAGAGGGAGCGTGGCTGCTTGGTATGCGGCACAACGCCCGGCTTGACTGACGCCTCCAACTTGCGAATAAAATTTTCATGAATTTCTATTAACTCCGTTTTTCTAGACGTGCCCCGGAGACTTAAAAAAGTTTTCTGTCAGCTGATAGCCCGCGGGGAGGTCAAAATCGCCCTCTCGCGCTGGTCAAGTCCGATTGAAAGGATAATTTTTCGGCTGCCCTGCGTAGCTTTTAAATTAACAATTATTATCAAAATGTAAAGATTAAGAGTATAATTAAAAAATTGATATTAAAATGTTATCCTCGTTTTAAAATTAGTTAGATGTAATGCAAAACAATTTCCTTTCAACCCTCTAACCGAGCAAAATGATATCAATACCGATTGCAAGTATAATATGAATCGGGGAACTTTAATTTATAATTAATTCTATTAATTTTCATCATTTAGTAAACCGCTCTTTATTGTTCCAAATCTTATTATTGTGTAAAACTTTTTATTTTAATGCAAATAATGCTTCCTTGCTTTCAAAAGCAAACAAAAAAATTGTTCAGGAAAGGATAAGTATTTTTAAACTTGACAGAAAATTAATGGCGAAACAATAATATCAGCAAAAGAATATATTCCTATATAATATTGACCAAATGTCATTCTTGTCATTTTCATTTCATAACTTTTTAAAAGACGTCTTTTTAAAGTTGTGACAATTTTGATAGTTTTTTTTAACTTTTTGGAGTTATGATTACGATTTTGACGATTTTTAAAATAAAATAGGGTAATATTTGCTAAACTCATTCATGATAATAACTTGAAAACCACGGTTGTTTTAGTGTATTTCTTGAAATAAAGGAACAATATCGTATGCTAACCTTTCTTTCGAATCTTTAATCAAATACGCGTTAACAGCAATCAAACGAAGAGGTCGATAAACTCTTAGATAAATAAGACAGGGAAATTCGAGCCCCTTTGTTTCATAAATTCTGAGATTTCCGTCAGTTTCGTATTTAGATAAACCGCGGAAATCACGAGTGTATTCTTGCTGTCAAAAACACATTATGCTCGTTAAATTATAATGCGGAAGATGCCTCGATATACTGTGTCTTTTTTAATTTGATCCGACATTTATTGTTGACGCGTCTATTTTTAATTATGGTCGTTAATATATGTGCTATTTTTGATTCGTTACACCTCTGCATATTAAGATAGTTCAACAAACAAATTCTCTCTTAAATCATTTTTCTAAAAATTTTATTCCTATCTTAAAATAAAACTTTTGCCTGAATTGCATGTCAAACAGTAATGATTTTAAACTGTAGTTATTGTAATTGATAATGAATCTATATATACATGTACATGAGAAGAACAATTTTGCTGAAAATCTACAATTTTGTCGAATGTAGATTAAAAAATAGTTTTGTTGAATCATCAAAATAATTATATAAAAAACTAAAAAATAATAATATCGCAAGAATTTTGATATTTTAGCAATTAGTTTGAATTTCCAATAAAAACTATTTTTAGATCTGATTCAACAAAATTTTAAATCTTTCAGCAAATCTTTCTTTTCGTATAAAGTGACTCAAGGGAAGATGTCACATGGGGAAAGAAGCACAGTTTACAATTTTTTTTTCATAGAACGCGCGTTGAACATTCTGACTGTACACAAGCATGTGACAAACAGTTGCGTAATAATCGATGGAAACGAAAATATTCGTGCTTTAACATGAAAAAATTTGACAAAATACAAAAGGTAGATCATGAGAAATATAGTCTTTATCATATTTAATATGCTAATAGCTAATGTCTGTGCTTCGATACTGTAAAACTTACTGTAAAACCGAGAAAATGAAGTACAATTTTGATCAGTATTTCTTAGTAGTCAAATAACTATGTACGTTATATAATTTGTAATAGTTTTATATGCATAAAAGTTACAATGGCATCTTCTTGTTATACTTGAGGAAAGGTAACAATAAGTACAGAAGTACAATAAATACAGCATGAATAATTAATACCAACATTAAAACACTTTTATGAATTAAAATTTTAAATGCTGTATATAGTTCAAGTTAATGAAATGCTGTTTAAATGAAAACAAGTACTTATGTCAAACTTACTTCCTAAATTACTCTCTTTTATATTTCCTCAATTTATGTTTTATCATACCTTTATGTGCTTTTATAATTTAAAACTCTTGATTGTATACTGTAGATAAATAAAACATGCAAGTTTATTGCGTCATATTATTTAATTGTGGCATCTTTTCCATACGTATGAGGAAATGTCACTTTTCCAGAGTATACCATATCAATTTTCTCTAATAATACAGAATGTCAAAAATTCAGTTCATTATCAATTTGCATAAATAAAAAGAGATCTCTAGAATATAAATAGTATTTTCTCGTAACTGAATTCAATTGACATTAAATTATTCTAAAATAAAGGCTTAAATGTGGCGTCTTTCGCTAAGTCACTTTACGTCTTTTATGTCTTTACATTAGAAAGATTTTAACAAATTGATACGTAAGAGGAGATAAGCTTTTGAAGGAACTGTAGTTGAAATTTCTGGATCTTTGATCCCGACATTCCTGATGCTAAGGACAGGACTTGCGAGCTTCCGCAAAGTTTCGCGGTCGCCTCGCAACCAAGTAGAACCCACCAAAATTCGGAACCCCGCAGGGCGAGGGCTTAGCTGCTGCTCCAAGTTTCACTTTAATCCAAAAAGCCGCGGTAGGCCGGCACAATTGATTCTGCCGGTGTTCCGGTACTATCTGAGTATACGTTTCTGAGGATAACCGCGAGGTCACCGTATGGCAATTTATGATGCCTTGAACGCCTTAACGTTGCTCAAATATTATACGTCCGTGTCACCGAATGTTTACAGTCGGGAGATTTTATCTTTTTGTATTTATAAATTTTTTTTACAAAATTATGTGCCTTTACGGTCTTTCATTACTGTGTCCGGCGTATTATTATTTTGCTCATGCAAAAATTCATATTTTATGTGATGATATATGTATAACAATAATAAATCACCACAATAATTGAACACTTACACAAATGAATCGGTCATTGTACAAAGCGCATATATGTTACAAGAAATTAAATCTAATTTTTTGGGGAAAGGATAATTAATAATACAATTAATAACCAAAAATATATATATATAAAGGGCATGTATAAGAGTCAAGTGTGGAAATTGATGTACAAAAACAGATCAGAAATTTAATGCGATAAGGTTTCAATTACGATTTTCAAATCAGTTACATGTTTTGACTATATTTTCAAGTCATCTTCGAATCTCAGAAACGCATATTGAGCGAGATTCCGTGAACATATTTTTGCAACATCAAAGATAATGAATTTCTCCGACGAGTCGAATCGTAAAAGAAAATTGAATCAATGTCCTCTATTTGTGCAACGGCCGATTCAAATAAGCGTCGATACGTAGTTTGTTGATTTGTAACTATTTTAATGTGCATATAATAGAAGACCGCGCAAGTAATGTGAAGTCTTGACGTAATGGTGAAGTCACGCGATAAGTTCTCTAGCGCACGTTGAAATTAATCATTTCGTGCCATCGGCAGTGTGTACATTTGGACCACACCTACCTGAACGCGACTTTCCGTGAGGCCGATCCTTAGTGCTATTTCCTCCCTCAGGAAAATGTCCGGGTAGTGAGTTTTGCCAAAACACCTTTCGAGCTCGTTGAGTTGGGCCGGTGTGAAACGCGTCCGATGTCGCTTTTGCTTCGCAGGTTTGTCATCTTGCCCGATTCCCGCCGCGCTACCTAAAATTCAGAGCACCACGGTGAAATTCTGTAAAATATTGAATTTTCTCCGCTCACTTTTACTTCTACAAATTGTCAATCGACGAGATACAGCCTTGGCTGTAAGCACTCTAAAATTATTCCCTCAAAAGGGTATTAAATAATATAAAAATCAAAGAAGAATAAAATATCTTTGAATTGCTGTAGAAATAAATTATATTTCAATAAAACAGTTTTTAAATTTATTTTTTGTTACGTATAAAACATTTACGTCACACTTTCGGGATATTTCATTAGATACTTATGGCCAAGGCTATACTTAAAAGATAAAACCAGATTTTCTCTGCTCCTGTATCTTTTACATTTAAAGAAAACGAAAATTAAATGTACGCTCTCTCTCTCTCTCTCTCTCTCTCTCTCTCTCTCTCTCTCTCTCCACTCTATTTATTTAGAATTAATCAAAAAGTGTAAAGTCGATCAGAGCAAGTATCAATAAAGTACTTATAGATCACGTTCTAATAATAATATCGAAATATTTATTTAATGGTTATCAATTTTGTGTTGATAATTTTGTGATTTCAGTAATTGTTAATAAATATCTTAGATTAATACTTATATTCAACCTCTAATTGTAAAATGTTTCACATTTTCTGTTGATTAAATCTAACATATGCTGCACATCGATCAATAGCTAAATTTTAAACACATTGTATTTAATGCACATTTTAATTAACATTTTCGTTTCTAAGTTTCATTAATATGACTTCAATGTTAACGTGACGTGTGAAAGTGACATGATTAATTTAACATCAAATCCAGAGTAATAATTTCGAAGATTTATATTTTAAGATATTGTTCTATACTTAACTATTACTATTTAAACAAATATTCATGACTGATATTTATTATAAATTTAGTTCATTTTTTCAGTGTGTAGTTTATTGCTAAATAAGATTTTTTTAATCTATATATTTGTGTGGTTGTACTTTGGCCTTAAATAGAATCATTAATAAATTTAACTTGTCTTAAGCTGCATTAAGTTTAAGTTATAAGGACACTTTTATCGCGATTTATCGTGATGATTATAAACTATGAACTAATAAATGACGGTTAAGTAAATATTGCACTTTTTCAATCCATTTAAATATTTCTTCCAAATGATATAAAAATATGCTATTGCACTCAGCAAAATAATTTCGCCTTCTAACTCATAATGAAAACATCGCGCAATCCGTTCTGGGAATATATCATACGCTTATTGCAGCTACTCATGTAGTATTCGTGGAAAATCGATGCGATTCATCTTTCCATTTACTATTATCATCCAGCTCGTTAAATGAACAGATGAAATCTGTCAATCGTTCACAATCGCGAATCATTCACGATTTCGACACAATTTTGAAACATAAATAAAAGACGCACCTATATAAAATAAGACAACTGAATTCTAGGTACTAAATTCCTCTTATTTATTCACTCTCTTTTAGCCTCGTGAAACAATTCATCGAAATTGTGAGATGAAAAGATAAGGATGTATTAAGTGTATTAGTCTTCCTCTGCAAAAAGAGTGACTGGAATTACAAATTCAAATCCACCATATAAAAATGAATATTGTATACATAAATATGAAACAGTTTAACGGCAATGTTTATATTTAACAATACAACTTTACAGTGTGAATGAAAATTGTCTCATTTTATCTTAATTATTTTCGAAAACGCGTCTACTTTACAATGAAATAACTTTTTATCGAGATTCTAAATTGCCGCCAAACTCTACGAGTATTGCTTTCAAACACACAATATAGACAAATCTGTAACTTTATAGTCATAATTTTATTTGGTGAAAAAAAAATACGTAATACATCCTTATTATTCTTGAGCTCGTGATCAATCGTTTTCCGTGTCTCTTGAATGCTCCTTGACTGAAGGAGACGAAACGTTTTACAGCGAACACAGGACGGCGAGTTTACGTACCTGCGCCGGGCATAGTCATGATCAGTTCCTGATGAAGCGTGAGGCCACCACCAGCGGACAGACCGGAGCCCAGATTCACACCCAGCACGCCGTGCTCCTTCTCGTACCGCTTCAGATCTTGTGCATCCTTCGCTCCTACGTGCCACAGCGTTCGGCGACGAGATGGGTGTAAGGTGGCAGAGAAAAAAAGAAGACACGCCGCTTCAGTTTTCTCCCGTCTTTTTTCTTTTTGCCGGGCTTCCTCGTGCTCCGCACATGCCTCTCGCTCGCCCGCCCCACGCGCCCGCTCTACGTAGTTTAAATTTGTATAGGAGCAGAAGCTGGCCGAGGGGTGTACGGATCACTTAGCGAGGAGGTGCGAGAATCGTCACCGCGTATACTCCGGGACTTCTAAGCGCGCAAACACACGTCTCAATACTCAATACGCACTCGCGTCCGCAAGTAGATGTTACACGCGTAAACGTACCTACACACGTACACCTCGTGCGTATAGGAGCGTATGTGGCACGCCCGGCGTGTACACGTCATACGTGAACGCATCGTTGTATCGCGGAGGGTGTCCATTTCAGATCAGTACACCCACACTACTCCGCGTCTCAGATCGCAGGTATCGCACGTCGTTGTGCATTGTCAAAGATGCTTACGTAATGAGGTAAACTAGTTTAGTCAAGTACGATCGCGACTTCTGCGCCGACCAGCCAAGGAGGAAAAGACCACTCGTTAAAAATTTCCACCCACGGAGAACGACAAATGCGCGGTGGGACAAATGTGATGGAATAAATGCGATGCTATGCGCGAAAAATACATTTTGAAACGTTGAAACAACACACAACTCGTACAAAACGGTTATTATTAGTTTTGACATTTATATTGACATCTGTATGCGCGATAAATTTTTCGTAAATTAGACGCGAAGGTTTGTTTTTATTGACAGAACGATCTTGAAGTCCTATATCTTTTCCAAATGTCGGCGTAACGTTTAAATTTTTGAAAAGTAATAAACAGCGTGTTGAGTATTGTTGACTGCATGAGAGAAAGAAATTTCCTGAAAAACCTTTTCGTTACCGACTACATTCTACACCAATTCGTTATTTGATAATTTGATTTAAATATGCATACTTTCAATAATAAAATAAATGCAGAATAGAATATGTAAAATATTTTATTAGTTTCGCTTGTGTGATCATATGGATATAAAATTATATAGAGATACCCCAAGAATAAATATTGAATTACCAGGCCATCATGTAGTAAAACTTAACTGAATGAATATATCTTTATATGAATGAATTTTACGACAAGTCGTTTTACGACAGATCTTTTTATTCGCATTATAGAAATTAATGATTTTATTTTATTATATATAATTTGATGGCCTCCCCAAGTTCTTACGAGCCTCCTTATTTCATAAGAATTCGAATTCTTATATGTATGAATCTTTTTTTTATCTTTCCTCTCCTTATATAACAATAATAAACTCTGTTGTACAAAAATCGCGCGTAACATCCTAACGTAAATCACAAAGTGTATCTCATATAATAATACATCTCCAAAAAGAAAAAAATCTCCTTTAAAATTTATGTTGTGTGTAATTAACCGTATTACTATGAGATAATTTTCCTCTAGTTAAAGATTATTTAATCCCGCATTAATTGACCGGATTATCGAAGATAATAATTAAATTAAAACGCTAATCACCAAAGGACCGCGTAGGATGCAGCTAAGAATTCGATCTACACGTGTATTTTTTCGCTCATAGAGTATCGCGGTATAATTCAGGATACGTGAAGCGACTGTAAAAAAAAAAAAACGGAATTTTTATACCGCTCGACCGCGCGTTTATCGACATTTGAAAACTTCGTGATTGACAGCCACCCGCTTGAAACGTCTGAATAATAAAGTCATAAATCACATTACTATTCGGAAATGTCGTGACAGACGTATTTATTCGCGTGTCACGCTCGCGAGTTATGCCCGCCTTGTCTCCACGGATGGCCGATGCACCAAATGCAATTAACGTATATCATAAAAAATTTTAACGGACACACTTTAAGTGTGGCGAGATGCGCGCAACGTTCCCGAGGGCCAAATCTCATATTTTTTGATAAATTGAAGGGCGGTAATTGAAGACGCGTATCGACGTAGTCTGCGAATCGGCCGGCCGTTAGTAAGTATATGTTTGATCTTATTTGACGGAAGAGACAGATATAAAGTGCAATTTATGAGAAATAAGTTCGACGTCGCGTCGGTGCGACGTTCATCACGTTCGCGTAAACTCACGCGTATAATTATTACGATATATGCGATGATTACGATCGTTTGCACGAAATCTTATCGAAAATGAATAATTTCGAAAGGAAAATCTTTTAGCCGCGCGTATGAATTGTCGTGGCAATTCAGTTCATTCGATAATCGCAGTAACGGTAAGTTAAAATTGAACGAGAAACAAGCGTGCAAATCGCATGGTGACAGAGTAAATATGACGAAAAAAAAAATCAACGCTTAACGTGAAAAAAAATAGAGCTATAACTTTCTTTTAATCCAGTTAACGTGTAGCGCTTTACTCAGTTCTCGCCACCTGCAACATTCTAACTCTCTAAACCGTTCCTCAACTTCTCGCGTAATGTAATCAGTGTTGAGGTAATTAAGATCATCAAACTCGAGAAGCGGCTTTCTTGAGATGGAGGAGATCGAAGACGTGCAACGTCACGTGTTACCGGCACATCTCACTGTTCTTTCGTGAAATTTTCCATTTTGAATTACGCTAACTGCCAACTTTTTATTTTTAACTGTAAAAAATAAACCTGTCGTAAAAAAATTTTTCCTAATTTAACAAATGTCATAAATTAACGTACACTGGTTTACCATTTTGTTGTAATCAAAGAAAACAATACAGTACCATATGTACAATGTAAAAAAGTAAAATAATTGATAAAATTACTTAACTTACATATACACACAAGATGAAAATCAAATAATTTTGTTAATCGCACAATAATCAATGTTTAAAAAATTGCGGTAACTGTATTTATTACTCCTATTATATTATATCATGATTTTATGCAAGTATATACCACTCAAAAAGAGATAATTTGTTTTATATATTAAAATAAATTTAAATGGTATTAGTTTTTGCAAGTAAACAGTAAATGTAATTGTAAATAAAAAAATAATATAAGAAATGTGATTCTATGAATATCTATAGATAAATAATTAGTAATAAGTTACACTTTTATATAAAAGTAAAGAAAGGAATATTAATAAAGCCTTTTTGTTTCCCTCTATGGTTTCCTGTAAATAATTTCTTTTGTATTGTATACTCATTATTAAAAATAATCATCATATGAAAAAAAAACTCGATCTAAAGCTCTAATTAATTATTAGCCTAGTTATATCGATATTCGGATACTTAAGCCTTTTTTACGACTAATAATAAATGAATTAATATAATATTTTCATTACTGCTTTGCCTTCGTATTAATGTCATTTTAAACTATCTATATTGTTCCCAAGGTGAAAATGAATGCAACTCATAGTGAAAAAATGAATTTTTTTATCACTCTTGACGAATGGGTACCCATCAAATGGTGAATCCACAGATAAATGATCACTATTTGTTGCCTACATGCTTAAGCCTCTACGTCGCGTCAAGGTTGTAATCATTGTAGAGACATTTTATTTTATCATTTTTTGTGTGTTGTTGATTTTTGTTTTTGTTTAAAAATTTTTTGGAATAACATTAACATGATGATAGAACAGTATAACAAACGAAAATATGTTATTAATTTACTTATTAATCGTGAAAAGGGCTTATATGTATCATAGCAGTAATTTTCTATATTAATAATTAATTAAGACTACATGGATCAAGTTTTTTCTCGTATAATGATTATTTCTGTCAGTCTTAATGACCATATAATACAAAAAAAATTTCTAAATTCTAAAAAGTCTAATGTAAAATCGTAGGAGGCACGAAAATGGTCTTATTGACCCGCCTTCTTTAAAAAGCATTAGTTTTTGCATGTCGCGAATAGTAAATGCGATAGTAAATAAAAAACTGATATAAGAAATGTAATTTTATAAATATCAATCAATACGATAAATAAATAATTTGTAGTAATTACATTTATATATAATATAAATTGAAGATGCATTAGTTTTTTCATGTCGCAAATAGCAAATGCAATGGTAAATAAAAAACTGATATAAGAAATGTGATTCGGTGAATATCTATTAATACAATAAATATTTCGTAATGAAATGTACGATATTAATTGCAATTCACAGTTACGGCAGGATTATTCACAGTGGATTAGCCGAGCGAAACAGTCCCTACACGAACCGACGGGTGATGAAAATCAAATTGATTAAGAGGAATCCAGATTCATTCGAAATTTATCTTTTTTGTAAGCACGGAGTTATACACCCTGATATGATTAGAAATGAATTTTAGAAAAATAATTTCATAAAGTTCATGTGAATATGAGAGTAAGAAATTCGCATTAAGCGGTACAAAGTATAAAATATTAATAACTGTCAAATATTAATAACAATTATTCGGCGATAGATTATGATCCGTTTTAGTAATTGTCTGCTTGTTTTTCAATTCGCTATCGATAATTGATATTTAACCGCTACTTTCTATATATTTTAGCCGACGCAATTAACATATATACTGAGAGATAATATACGGATATTTCTGTTATAAATTTCACCGTAAACGGCAAGTAATTAACTTTAACGAAGCTATGCGACCTATAGTAATGCGCGCTTGAAAGATTTAGAAGGATTTAAAATTATACATAACTAAATTTATAATCGAATCTATTTAATAAAGACCGTTTAGCGTTCGATATGTATTTCGTTCCGTTAGATTTCATTTCATCTTGAATATCTTTTACTATGATAGCATCGCGCTTACAATTAGACCGGGAACACTCGTAGTACTCGTAGTAATGTCTGATTAATTAACAACGTCACTTTCAATTGTGATTTGTTAATTGTAGTAAACCGACATAATGATCCCACATTACGTGGACAAAAAGCTGACACGCTAAGCTTGAAATAAACTAGCTTGCACACTTATAAAAGCAGTGAAGAAACACGCTTCTTATGGGACACCTGATGCTACAACGGTACTCGGCGCAGCGCGTTTGAAATCTAAAACTGAAGTATTAAAGTTTAACACTATTATTATATCATTACCGTGCCATCACTGTCTTCTCTCATTACGTTCTACGGATACAAAAGTGAAATTAGCGAAAGCGATGTGTCTGTGTGTGTGTATGTGCGGCTTTGTAATACTTCATAATATCAACACAAATGAAGTGCGCTGATAATTCACTAAGAACATATTTTTTAGTTATGCCAACAGAAGTACAAATAAAATATATTGTATCGTACTAATCAGAATTTTAATCAGATTATTGTGACCGAACTTCTGATTATTTCAACTGGAACGTTTGATAAATTTAATTGTAAGCGTTTCTCTAATTTGTATCCTTCTGACTCAATCTACCAGATTTCCAATTTGTGTATCAGATTTTTCCTGTTGTTACATGTCTCACGATAATGTTGGTAATAAGTATATATTGTTATTCGGTAGAAATAAACGTCAAATTCGCGAGGAAAGCAGGACTTGACGCCTAATATTTTAGTACAAATTTTATAATTTCCAGTTTGTTATTATTATTGTAATTATTATTCACTTCCACATTTCTTCTTAAGTTCTACAATGATTCGAAAAACTGAATACTTTTGTCGGTACCGCGCTTTTAACGTTACAGATGAAATAGGCTGCCACTATTATTGAAATCGATGGACATTCTTGCGACTGACACTTAATCCTGAAAGCCTCTGTATCAGATCCGAGCACATGTTTTTCACACCGGTTAACAATTTTTTCAATTCGATGTACCGAACACACTGGATTGTAAATCGGAAGCGACGCGCCAAAACATCGGCCGTCGGCAAAGACATCGATGGCTTCCGAAGAATGGTTGGTCGCAAGTTCAATGCTCGTGATCAAAATGCATTTGCTGTACATGATTAAGTGAGGTAACGGTCTTTCGAACATTAGAGTGATCTACGTGATCACATAGTGACATAACAGACAACTAAGTTGTGATTAATTCTTGTAACGCTAAAAATACGCGGCGATTATAATTAATCGATACGATGAACGTAATCGACACACAATGACTTTAACTTTAATTCACAGTTAAAAATGGACCAATCACAGTACTGCAATCCACAATTCTGTTCGTAATTTCGCGTAAAATTTATACATTTATAACCGGTCCAAGATATACACTCAATCATTATTCTGGAGAACGTACATTTGGACCATATTCTTGTAGGCATAGTTTGAAGACAATACCGTAGAACTGCGATTTAAAACGCGAAGGAAACCGGTGGATATCGTATAAATCTCGGCCAGCTTCAGGATTTCTAAGGGAATTGGAGCTTAGTCTTAACACACAAGGATTTAACGTGACGTTCGACGCGAATATCGGCGGTACCATTCGAGATCGCTAATTACAATCCGAGCACACTAATTTCCTTGACGCACACTAATCAGATGGAATTTTTCTGACTCAAGTGTATACGGTACTTACCGGAGATACCGTGTACGGAACCACCGGCGGTGATATTGTTGAGCATGCCGCTCAACTCCGGGAGCGTAGCTCCGATACAGCACGCGGAAGCGGAAATCCGCGCGACACCGCGAGCACCTCACCCTCAACTCTCGAGGAAGCACGGACAAGAAAAAAAACTGCGACTGGCGGCGCGACGCACGGAGCCTTTCCTGGATGAGTATTTAGGTGTACAGAAATGAGCCTGAGGATCGGCCCGTGCCTCAGGAAGGCAAACAGCGAACTGGCCGACTGCCATATCCGAACTCCCCCACTCGCGCCGGCTCGGCTGGTATATCGATGTCCTGTTCGTTTCAAAGCGAACACCGCCGATCTCTCGCTTCAACCACCGGCTCGCGAGAGTCCCTACTACCTCGCGTTCTCCGCTGGTGGGCGTGATATTGAATCGCTCCTATCCTTCAGATCCAACACTAGAACCCAGGAAGGTAGCTAGCCGCAACAGCGCCTTTCTTCGAACTCTCGTACTTGTGACGATCAGAATTTTATTTGTTCGTTTATTTTCAGCAGAGGAACCAAATATCAATTATTATAATATAATATTAAGTTACTTTAAATTAGAAATATCCGTTATTTGTCCTAAAATATTAGGATGACGATAATGAGGTGGAATTTCGAATAGTGCTGAATTGACTCATCCCCTTAAGAGTGGACCATCATGTTTGCGTATCTTTCCTTCTGCGATGATCAAGTCTAAAAGTTTCATCCTAGGAAATTCATCAGAACTTGAGAGTTGCCACGATTACAGTAGCGCAAAAGTTGAATGCAACCGCGCGTTCACCAACCGCTCGAACAGGATCAGGAGGTCCTGACAGACCTCACTTCGGTGGAAGAGTAAATAAAAAATAAATAAAAATAAAAAAAAATGGTACGACACAGCCGGTGGCGACTGGCGACGAACGCGGGAAGCGAACGAAGAGTCTCGGACCCAGAGAGAGGTATCCCGGTCGTCGGATTTTCCGTCGCCCGCGCGCCGGGCCGCAATGGTTGGTAGCCATGCGAGGGTTGCCCATATCCCGAGGTAAACTCTATCCAGGTTACCGTCTCTTTCGCCGTCTCCGCTTTGTGGTAGGCGGTAACCGCCGCGAACGCAGCTCCAATGAGCGGGTAGCCCGCCCTCTGGATGCCCCACTAGTTTTCGCGCGGCGGAGATTTATTGAAATTTTATTTTTATGGCCGGCAAGAGCGCGCGCGGGCGCTCGGCACGGCGTTGCGCGCGGGTGAGAGAGGAGAGATGCGAGCGGACGACCGGCGGCCGAAGGAGACGAGAGAGAGCCCTCTTCTTCTCATTTCCTCCGCCTTTCTTCACCCCTTCCCGAACCCGTGCGTATATCGCTCTATCTCCGTCCCCGCCGTCTCTCGCCTCTCGCTCCGGCATCGCGGTGTTTCACGTTCTCTCTCGCCGACAGCGCCGACTATACGCTTTTCCACCCTCGCTCGGGCGCGCGCGCGCGCGCGTGCTCGCTCTCTCGCCGGATTCTCGCCCGGTCGCCGTGATCTCGCTTTCTCGCTGCGGCCCGCCTTGTACACTCCACGTCCTTTTAATTCAATAGCTACCCCTTTTTATAACTCGGCAGCCCCCCGTGCAGCGCACGGAAGTCACGATGGCTCCTAACGCTTTGCTTGACCCGCCGAAGCGCGATCTTGCGCGATCCTACATGAACGACATTCCATCCTATTTGCGACGATCACAGGGGATGCGTGTAACGCGTAGTTTGTAATTACACTGGATAATGTTCATGTTAAATTTATTAAAATCTCAGATTCGCACTCCGAGTAGCCACGTTCGCTTTTTAGTCCGTACAGAAAGCAGACGGAAACGGTTACATTTTGTATTATAGCCAATTGTATTTATTAACACCTTATAAAAATGTACGATTTATTTGTTATTTCCTTGCACACGTCTGAAACGATCATTGTTCAGCACATTTTGTGTCTACATTATACAATGTATTTTCAAATATAAATTTCAACGTAATTAATTATTTATTATCTTCGAACTGATACTCTTTAATGTTACGTTTCGATATACACATTTTCGATATTTAAAAATGTATACTCTAAATTTAACCAATTTTATCTGGATTTTAATTCCATAATTAATTCCATAATTAATTAAATTCTCACGTAACCTAACATGGATCAGTGCATTAATAATTTTTTATAGTTTTATTAAAGTGATATTTCTGTTAAAGTAATAGATGAATATGGACTATTCTGCTTTTAGTGCATTAAATGGCTTATTAATATCACAAATTAATATATAGAATATTTCACTTCCACTAAATTAAACTTTAATGACAAATTCTTTTATGAATTTAAAGTCGCATTTACATCGATAATTTGTACGAACCATCATATACATTAGTAATTTGTAAACAACAAATACCTAATATATTAATATTAAATTGATATTGTGCCGTATAATTCATTGTAGTATAATAATTATTTTTCACAAAGTGACACAGATCTCGAATTAGTTTATTTTTTTTAATTGTATATACTGTGACGAGCATAAATAATTAATGCTGATATAGGTAATAAAAGTAACTTTTAGATCACAAAAAACATTTTCCACAATATAATTATTGGCAGATTTGAATTTCCTTTAACATATATTAATATATATTTTTATAAAATTGTTTATTATTATAATATTTAAAAAATCGTTAAATTGCTTGTAAATTTAATAGGTGGTACTTTGGTTCTGCTCATGAATGCACATTTCAAGATTAAGAAAGATTTCCACACAGCAGAATCAAATATGTAGGTATAAATTCACAAAGAAATATTTAAGCACTTTGACAGAACATAGGATTCTTATTGTATTTAATTAGAAAAATTATTTTATTTTGACTTCTATTATTCATTATAAAAATAATCCCCACAATTTTCATTTAAAAAAGCCAAAGTAACCAAGATCAGGAAACACGATAGTGTTTCGACGCTAAGATTAACGCTATGTATAAACTGTTATAAAATAACTTGGTAATATATATATATATAATATAATATATATATATGTATATTTGGCTTTTTCTCTTTACGATATTATGTAGTATGATAATATGAATATTCGTACATTATTTCTAAACTATATATGTTTATATTACGTGCACATATATGTGTACTTATATAATGTATATCTATATATATATAATAATAAGGCCGCGTTAAATTCTTCGGAAAAATTCTTTGCTGTTTTAGCTAAAATAAAAAACTGATAATGTACTCTTTTACGTGATTCTGAATGATTTTACCGTTGATATATAATAATAAGGCCGCGTTAAATTCTTCGGAAAAATTCTTTGCTGTTTTAGCTAAAATAAAAAACTGATAATGTACTCTTTTACGTGATTCTGAATGATTTTACCGTTGATATAATAGAATAACATTAAAAATTATAATTAATAGATATAGCTAGTTGTCTTGCTCTTAAAAACACAAAGAAGTGTTGGGAAAAGAGTAACAAGCATATGCATTCTATGTCGTGTTGTTCATAAGATACGTGCATGCCGCATAGCCATATCACTTCTTGCGCGAAAGACAGGACAAGAGAATGGTCAAGGAAATTTAATAAACACGATAAAGTAGGTTCGCCTTCCCACTTTTCTCGTTAATTTAGGAATAATTAACGATGGTTTTAATTGATGAAATTTAATATTTCCTCGTATGCTTTACGTTTTTTAATTAGGGACATTATCGCGTGCTGGTAGAACTCGCGACTTTATTTTTTGATAATGTTTAATTTTTCTCACTTTTGCAACGTTTTTGTATATTTTTATTTTAAAAACAATTTTTTAAATTCTTTCGAGTAACACACACACACATCTCATTCTAAAGAGTGAAAATGGAGCCAGTCTTTGAAAAAGAGTGAGATTTACTCTAAAAGTTTCAACGAGCACACATTATGTCCCCTTTGCAACAATTTTATTTATCTTTATTTCAGATACATTATCCTATCGTTGAATAATTATAAAAATTGCAAAGTATACATTCATATTATTGTACGTAAAGAGGGACTTACACAGAGCCATATTTTTTATCGAGCGCGCAAAGAAGCATCGCGAATATATAACGGAGATGTAATTTTTAATTATACTTTTCAGGTAGCGCGTCATACCTCTTGCAGACTCATTTTTCGTTTATTTGCATCACATTCACCGCACTAATGAACGCAGACGCGAACGCTCGAAAACATCGTAGTCGGCATATGCAAATATATAGCTAATTGGATTAAAGATAATTAACGTCGCTGGTCCGAGTATTCGATCACAGGGTCGTCCCCGAGAAATTTCGACTATATTGCGACAATATTCGCAAACACAATATGAACGGTATAACCTGTGTAACCAGTGGCGATGATCGCTATATATAATTACAAAAATACTGTGGAATCTCCCTCGTAATGAAATAGATATCACGCGGAATGCGCTGCTCGCCCGTACGGAATTCTCAGTCACATCATACTTCAAATATACCACGTTTGTGGTTCTCATTTTCGATGTGATCGCGATATTCAGACTAGCAAGAACGTTGGCCATTGACAGTGGATTAAATTTAAATTTTTACTATTATCTCCTATACGTCGTAATCCCCTGTTGTAATATTGTAAAAAAAAGATTTCCTCACAAATTGGGAAATTTAATTAAATAAATAATTTCCAGCTTATTTATGATGTTTATAAGAAATTGAAATTATATTGTAAATATATGACTCAGGATCTTCTCGCATAATACATTACTTTTTAAGTAAAATAAATATATATCAGGCGCTAAACATTATTATTATACTGCTAATTTTTAATTATTTTTATCCCTAAATAACAAACATATGGTAAATGTACTCAAGAAAGTGGAAAATTATATACATGTAACGAAGCGTTGATGAAACTAGCGGGGAAAGAATAAGTTATTTGTTCGTAATCGCGAAATATGAAGCGAAATAAACAGGAAAGTGCTGAAAATAACTTCGATTGAAATCGCTACATACATTTTTTCGAAAATCATC